ATCATTCAAAAAACCACTGTAAGCCCAAGTGGAAGAAGAATGCATGCTGTCAGCACAATCTGACCCCTGTTCCAATGTTCTTGGCCATGTCCTCTCATTAATTCCCTCCCCTCCCCTCTTCCAACTCCTTCTCACTCGCTCCGATACGTTCATCGAAAACGAATCATCTGGAAAAGTACTAAGCTCAAAAGACAGTGCGACGCAAATTGGATTGGTGGAGCCACCAGGTTTTACTCGGCAGAGTTCCCATAAGCCACCTTGAGAGGTACCCTTTGAATTCCTTTGACCAGAGTGGCTCATTCGCAGAGCTTCATCGTTTCACAAGAGTTCTCTGGCCAAAGTGAGACTTGCTATTTAACATGAACAAACAAGTGAACTAGAAAAAAGCAGGATGCCCCTCCCAGACAAACAGCGCGAAACGCGGATATATTCAAGCTGTCATACCGACAAGTTGTTGTATATTATACCGCTGTAAGACAACAATAAAAAAAACGCGTTCACCTTCATTGTACTTGTCCCTCAGCAGATCTCTGAATCGCTCAGCTTGACGCTTTTTCAAATCCTGTTCGTTGTCTTCTGACACTGGTACTTCAACCTGCAGAGAGGAAACCATAAGAAGTAAGTACAACAATCCCGCTCACGAAGTTTCAAAAAAAAAATCAGAACAGCAAAAAAAGTGTCACACATACCGGCACCTCAATTGGTTCTACAGGCGCTGGAGCAGGTAGCGGGACCGTCATTGAGGCAAGGGTTGCCTTCATGGCTTTATCCATCTCACTTTCTTCTTTAGATTCTTCGGGCGCATCTACATGTTCTGTTTTCACCTCCTCAGCGACGGTCGCAGTCGTGGTAGTCGTGGTCTCCGCTAAAATAGAAACGTAGCACTACATATTACATGAATACATTCAGAGGCGCTAACTACCTTGTTAAAAGGCATTTAAATGACTTCTTACGGGGATTACCGCAGCAGAGGCAAAAACCGACCTTTGTCTGGGCTTATATGGAAGGGGGTGGAGCTCCTGTGCAGGAGAACCACGAGGAACAGCAATCTCACTGTTAGTTTAGGTCCATCCCCCCCCCCTCCTCCCACCCCACCTAAAGTCGTTGATGCCGACCTGAATCGAATTGTGAACAGCTTTTCAAAATAAGATACCACGAAATGTATTAGGAGTTGAGAGTTTCCTCAACTGTACAGGATATCCCCTTATAGAAACATGGACCGAAGGAACTGGAGGATTTCTGTAAAAAAAACTACGGAAAAGTGGAGACACGGACAGGACAATCGCAATTTGTCGCGTCGCCGCGCGCGGCCTACACGACGTATAGTGCGGCCATGGGTGAAGGGTTCTCGATGTGTATCACTTTTCGATTACAGCAGCGAAACTCACATGAATTCAAGCGAGGACGGACTCAGTGATTGGCAACAGCGAATCTTTCCTTCGCTTTACGCTCAAATTTACATGGCCAGACAGGACAACTCGTCCGTCAAGGGCGCCCCTTAAGGGTGGCGCATTACGATTGTCTTGTCACATACCCGGAGAAGTAGTAGGAAGTCAGGGAAAACCTAGAAGATGGTTGGCAGGATCGGAAGGATTTGGAACGTGTTGTGGTGGGGCGGGGGGTGTTTTTTTGCTGTGTTTTGCGGAAATTCTCCCAGCGGCAGTACCTGCCTCCTTCACTACTCACAATATCGCTGCAAAAAACAAAAGAAAACATATCAAGAAATTTGTGAAAAGCCTACTAGTCTCAGTAGTAGCCGTTGTCGTAGCTGCAGCGGCAGCAGGAACTGGAGCACTGAATCCTTCCGGTTTCGTCCATGTGGTTTCTTTTGTAACCGTATTGTAATAATAAGCACGACCTTCCGGCGTCTTATACTCTTTCCATATGCCATTAGCAGAAGTTGCAGTTGGAGTTGAACGCTTAATTTCAATCTGCATCGGGAAGCGCCGTGAACGATATCGATTCATAGAACGGGTGAGGAAAGGACAAAAGTTGGTGAGTCATACCGTTTGACGTTCTTGCGGAGTTTTCAACTCATCGGGCTTGTTCCATGACGACTCCTTTGTCACCTTGTTATAGTAATACACTCGACCATCAGCAGTCTCATGCTTTGTCCATGGACACTCCTTCAATCGAAGCGGTGAAATTGAGCCTTTCAATAGGGTTGTAGTAATGGACATCCAAGGTGCAGCATCCCTAGCTAGTTAACCCAGCATGATACTCGAGTCACTTATAACAGACTACTTCCTATACCGTTAATTCCACGCTCTAATTTCGGAAATTCCACAATAAGAAAATTTTGGTGCGGTTCGGCTTGGAGGGAGCACCAGCTGGTATGCAGTGAAGCATGTACAGGCCACCTTGCAAAGACCCGTCAATTCTAGTAGCCAAAATGGCTCACATGTACTATTTCGCAGGTTCATACTGGTTCAAACAGGTCTCACCAAAATAAAACCTGTTAGTAACATGAACAACAAAAAGGAACTAGCGAAAGTGCAAATGACCCTCCCAAGCCAAACAACACCTGAACTGCTATCTCCCGTTTCAAGTTGTGATATCACTCTCAAATCATTATTCTACGGTTTTAATGAAAGAAGAGCCCTGAATCGTATAGCGATCTTCAACAGTTGACATGGCTAACATACGCCGCTTGACGTCAAAGTGCCGTGCCAAGTCGACTAGCTATTAATAGCAGTGGTTCAGTGGTTTGCGACCTATGCCGCGCCTCAGATGTCCTGACTGAATGTCAGCAATTTCAGGATTTTCACTGCATAATGCACCCTTTACTGTTCCACATATCGAGAATCGGGCCTATTTGGCCCCGGAGTATTTCTAGCCAAGAGTGTGTCTCTGGGGATAGCTTCACCGCCCCAACTCGGATACCACACCCGTGTGGAGCCGAAACATCCAACGCCCGCGCCGAAGGCCCCGGCGTTGGAGGCCTGTTTGACGCCGTTGCTCGTAGTTCACGCGCTTACTACGCAGTGCTAGTAACCATGAGGAAGAGGGGGCACACTTGTAGACATAGCATACCAAATCTTGTAAACTGCACATATGTGGATACCGGACAACCTTGTCAACATCCTGTAAACTCCTGTCAAACTATTCAAAATGACTAGCCAAGGTTTTGAAGTAAACGAAAATATGGCGTTCAGATGACGCCAGTATCATCGCCAAGCTTGAAAGGAGTTCAAGGATGAGAACTTTACAGAAGTTTACAGAACCACAGGGTGAGTCATGGTTGTGAGACGATACGAGAAGAATTAAGGACAACGACCCACACACACGTTGACAAACGAAATTATAAGTTCAGGAAGTCAGGTGTGTACAGTACCACCGAAAATGGCACGTGAAATTAAATTGGCCGGGCAGCGAAATGTACGTTACATCATCTTGACCTCGACCTTTGTGTACTCTAGTGCTTGGAAGGGACGTAATGCTGCCACTCGTGAACGACCCGCCTGGTGCCAAGAGGCCCTTCATGCGCAATCCTGATGCCGTCTCCCAGGCGATGTACCTAAATCCGCTGTTAAGACCCATGGTGTACCCGGTTGCGCACCACCCTGACTTCCCGAAATTATCTTTTCAGTTAGCGTTTACAGGTCTAGCACCCCCCCCCCCCGCAGCTCCCAGCGTAAGTTATTAGCGCTAGGCTTTTTCGCGTCAAGCGAATGCGCACTTGTGTTCAAGGGGTCACGCCATCCCTCGGGTCAATTTTCAGGCAAAATAAGCGCCCATGACTTGTCCGGCAAGCGAGGGTGATGTTCAGACAAAAGGTAATATTTGACCCAACAGTGGGTAATGTAGGAGAATAGCGCAATTCAAACAAATATTACCGTTGAAGCTGGCGGTGCCGAATGTGCTTGGGGACTATCACTACTTCCATCTTCAGCAGCCATTCCTGGCGGCACAAGCATGGGTGTCGGACGACCACTATGAGGAGTCGCCGCATTCGGCATTGGTACACTTACATACTGAGTATTTGGTGTTGACACCATCACTGGAAAATCACCTATGAATGTATTCCCTGTAGAGACCATCACTAAAAAAACATATTGATTAGGGTAAAGTGCAAAAATATGACCAAAATCTATCTGACAGAACGAATACAGAATGCTAAAGAGAAATGCTTACCACGCTGCAACGCGTTTGCATTAAGCAATAGCTGCTGTCCAGCAACTAGTCCTGGATTCACGTTCAGTAACGGAAAGCCAAAACCAGGCAGCATTCTGAATATAAACGAAGTCATGGGAAATAACACTTCTGCATTAATCAATACCACTGCTTCGACAGTTGGAGACTTTGTTTGGTTTTGAGCGCTATGCGCTTTTGCAAGCTCTGATTTGCCACCTTATGAATTTGGATATACGCTTTATGCAATTCTAAATACGGCGCAGCTTGGCTTAGTAAGAACAGCAGATGGTATTTAACAATGCTAACTTGTGAAGACCTGTAATTCGCAGCCTCACAGAAATTTACAGGTCTCACAATAGTGATCTGTCAAGTATCACGAACTAGCAGCAATAACAAGCAAAGATACAAATGCCCCTCCAAAGCCGAGCAGCGCTCTAAATACCATCATATATCTCTTCTTGCCAGAAACTACATACAGAAAAAATGCAGCCGACTGACAGAAACTACGGACGAAGACAATGAGGCCTTTAATCAGAGCATCAGTGAGAGACTCAGCTTCGCATTACGCTCATTTTGGACGGACTACCGTATCTATGACCAGTTGTCTATTCTGCCACGGTAATGGGCTGAACCGCAACCAACAACTCCTGTTGAATCGAAGGTTATTACGGGAGAATAATGCCATTTTCTGTGCTCCATAGCGCACCAAGCCGACGCAGTAGGAGCACATACCATCTAATTGCTGAACAGCTTCCCATTTCCTTTCTCCCTATCGCTGTACCTTTCTCGAATATCACATCTGAACGAGTGTACCCGCAAAGCACCAAATTTCGATTTTTTTTTGGATTCAGCTATGATATTTAATAAATGTCAGATGTGAACGCTACTTACATGTTCTGAGAACGCGCGCAAACAACTAACGCAACAACTTTCGGAACTACTTGAGTCGACATCCTGCAGCATTTCAAGAAACGGTTAAAACAATCGGAGCTTGCCGCGTCGTCGCCCACGGCGTACCGTGCAGCAGTGGGCCGGCAAATAGAGTAAGATATTTTGCAACGACAAAACATCACGAGGCTAACATCATAACTTTGTCTTTAGTTCATGTACTCCAGCTGGTGGAAAAGCTATCAGAAGACTGCTGTTCCCGCGATCAAGTGATTCGCTAATGCCTCGGGGCATTTGTCATCCAGATCCGCACTCGCATACAGTGCACATTTTTTCACTCGGGGCGAGGGCAAAGCCATCACAGACCGTTTGACTCTTGGCACACGTTTGCTTCTGTCTAGTCCAAGACACACTACCTGCCACGAGCCTAAATCGCCCCTGCATTGTTTGCCTGCAGCGTCGTTAGGGACGCATTCAACTGCTGCGTCTGAAGATATTTTTACACTTGTGGGACTACCTGCGAGTTTACGAGTTGTCCTGATCTCTCCGGATAGGTTTTTTTCTGGAAAGCAAGCAAGCAACTTAAACGCTAGGACAGAAAATAGCTTTCCAAAACGCTGTGCATGATTGCGCACATACAACAAAGCACTGAACCATGACGAGCTTTTGCCCCTGACATCCGATTGCATCGCTACGATAAGCAGCGCAACAGCACTTCCAGATGCGAAGTAACATTACCTCGCTTGCTGCTTGCTTGCTTTCAAAAAGGTATCCGGATAGAGCAGGACAACTCCCGAGCCCGCGAAAGAGTCTACATGCACAAATTCTCTCAAACGAGCCCACAAAATCGTCCTACGACGCTGCAGGCAACAGAATATATACACGCAATATAACTTAGTTGTCTTACAGACTGAAAAAAACAACGGCCACAAGAGTGACACGCATGTAGCCGTTTTATTCGTCCTTTCGTGTGAAGAAAATGTACACTCTATGCGAGTACGGACCTGAACGCCGAACGAATGGAGGCATTTCGCGGATCATCTGATCGCGGGAACTGTATTTGAGTCAATTATGCCCTGACCGAAAGCCGCTCTTGTGACACCATTTGCAACACATCTTTCGTCGCAACGGAGATGCTCACATCACTCACTTCCTGATTCGATTCCTGTTGGAATTAGGAATTCTGTTGAATCTGTCCCTGGCGAAGACATGAATGCCGCATTGATTTTCAGCGATATCCAGAAATTGCGGAAGGAGAAAAGAAACAGGGGACTTACCTATTATTATGGTTCTGCAGGTTCTGAAGCCCAATCCAGAACAGGCGATCGTTCATCCGTTACTTGTTCATAGCTCGCTCTATCACTTCTTTCTCGAATGTTCCTTTGTTGAATCACGCCTAGACGAATAGCTCCTACTACTGGTACTTATATTAAATATGCTCAATGAAGCAGTATTCGAAAAGTTGAGGAACGATGCTTCTCATGAAAACTGCTTCCACAAGTGGCTGCTCCCAAATGAAAACACTCATTTACGGGAAATATGGAATATTGAAGAAATCAGATGAAGTGTTCACTCCAAATTTCCTTTCATTAATTTATTTCTTAGTACAAAAACTCTGAAAAAGGGTATGGAAAAGTGATGAGCAGGCTGAATCCAAATTTGAAAATTTTGTTCCCGATTCCATGCATACGCTTCGTGCTCTTCTAAAAAAGCCGTTCTCCGAAGCGTCATGCGGCT